AAATTCTCCAAAAGGGCATAGACAAAAAACACAAGGCAGTGTAAGCAGGTATTGCCTGGTCGCTATTAGTATCACTTCATCCTAGTTACAATGCAGGCAGCAAGACAAGCAGAGCTTGAAGCACATGATTGATGCTCCTCAAAATGAAGCAACCCATACATGGCTCCTGCAGAGGTAACCATCAAGAGAGAAATGAAGATAAACCAACTCCCAGCTTGAAAGACAAGACACATTTTATAGCCATCATCTCAGTTTTGATTAATGGGTTTTTTGCTTTTTCCATTATTCATCTAGGGGAATATATATATGGGAGGGGTGTGTGTGTGTGTGTGTGTGTGTGTGTGTGTGTGTGTGTGTGTGTGCCCAATCATGTTTAAATCATCAGTAATCCTGAATTGTTCCCTTTTATTGACTGGGGCAGTTTTGTCAATCAAACCAAGAACTCTAAATACAGTTAAATACAGTTAGTCTTGCTAGCCAGCATGTGCTGGGGATTCCCCGTCTTTACCTTCCTAGATTGGAATTAATGGCAGGCCACCATAGCCACTCAGCATTTATGTAGGTTCTGGGGATTGAACTCAAGCCCTCGTGCTTGCAAGGCAAGCACTTTCCTTACTGGGCTATCTCCTCAGACTGCAAACAAATCTGTGTATATAAGATATGGTCTTGTGTACCATCAGCTTAAAAGCTCCAATTTCATCACCTGAGGGGATTTAAATGAAACTGCATTCTACAGTAAAAGAATTAGACCCTTTGAAACATTGCGAAAAACTGCTCAGTTAATTCTCAATCCACTTCATCTCAGACTCCCTTAGACTCCAGATGGAGATTCAGAGGAAAGAGGACCATTTAATGGCCTTCTTTCTTAGGATGGCATAGAAGTGGCCACTGCAGTAAGTGTTTCTGGCAACCACAAAGGACTATAATCATTTGAGATGCTATCCTTCATATTTACACCAACATTTCTAGCAATGGCAATACTTTACAATCACTTGGGTACCTTTTGTAAAATTTATTTCCTCTAGAACTTCCTAGGACCAAGTTAATTAGATTACCTTGGGAATCGGGCTCCTGTTATAGAAATCCCTCTATTGATACAAATCCCTAGCAAAAGTAAAAATGACTATAATTATGGTAACAGTGATGATGATGACAACAATGATGATGATGTTGATGATGCTATTACTTGTCAGTAGAATGAATTAATTTATGGGGTGACATTGAACCTGGACAATCAGGTACCATGAGCAGAGGTCTTCAGAACACCAAAGAACATAGGAGATAAGGGACTAGGAGAGAGAGGTAAGGTGCTAGGACCAGATGGAGCATGAAGTCTCATGGGAGCAGAGGTTTCCTTATCCATACTCATACTTGAATTAGCTCCCTTGTCTCTTAGCAAGCACTGTCTCCCAGGCTAATGTGGGAATCTGCTATCTACCTACTTCCAATAACATGGAATACTTGAATCTTCAAGCAGCTCTATTATAGAGAAATCTAAAGGCTACCAATACTTCAAGTCCAACTTCCTAAGAGGGAGAAAGATAAGATCAAGGCAACCCCAAGCAACACAGCTATCTCCAAACAAAGGAAAAAGAACTGGGAAGTGAGAGTATAAGTCAGTAGTAAAGCATTCCAATGTTGTCCCTAAATAAAAAGCAAATAATTCAAGATCTCACTCATATTTGAAAATAATAACAGAAGCAGAAAATAGAACAGTACTTTCCAGGAGCTACAGGGGTGAGGGAGTGTCATTTAAAAAGTTACAGGTATGTAGAATAAGTCCTAGAAATGTAATATGTATGTGACCGTGGTAACAAATATGACACTGTGGGCTTGATATTTACCAATAAAGCAGATCTAAGGAAAGAAAGGGGAAAGAGAGAGAAAGAGAGATGGGGAGAAGGAGGAAAAGAAGGAAGAAAGAAGGGGAAGGGGAAATAAGAAAAATATCAACCATGAGTTATAGGGATGTTAATTAACTTGATTGCAGTAATCATTTAAAATGTACACAAAAGATAAAGTTGCATACTTTAAATACATACACAGTTTTTATTTGACAGTTATACTCATTAAGCTGGAAACGTGGTGATATGGTAGGAAAGTGAAGCCTGGTAGGCTTCCTACCTGGTAGGAAAGTGAAGCCTGGCTTCTGAGACAATGCAAACAATACACTAAGGGGGCAAGACTCAGCAGCAAAGTGAAGATGTGGGTTCCTGGGAAGTGACATTTCCAGTTCAGAGACACAGACATTCAAATGAACTAAGGGGGTTGACTCTTTCAACAAGATACTCATGTCAAAATACCACATTGTAGCCATGAAACAGGCAAGTGTTGTAAAAGGATCTGAAGGAGGCGGAAGAAAGGGAGGGAAGAAGGGGGAGGGGAAGGAAAGAAAGAAGGGAGAAGAGGGAAAGAGGGGGAAAGGAAACAAAACACTCCCGCATGTCCCACAGTCAGGGGACACCAATGGTCTTTTAGGCATTTACTCTGAAGTGATTTTTTTTTCTTAAGGAGCCATAGCTCTTAATATCAGCCAGAGTGAGAGACAGTGTTAAACCTATTTGCTTGGATGTTCTCAACTAAGAGCTCTGCTTTTGTAATAAACAAAGGCCAACTTCAGGGTCTTCTATTCTGCCTTGTCATTGTATTCCAAATCCCTGAAGCACCCACCTGGCCTAGCAAACAGGATCCATAGAGAAGCAGGTGAAGCACCCCTCATCAACAGATCGACAGGGACCAGCTAGCAGCTACAAGGTTGTCTCAGGGTTCAGAGATAAGCTAGGTCTCCAAGTGGCCAAGGGAAGTAATTGCCAAGGGAAGCAGAAGTACCAGAAGCAATGGGCAGCACCAAAGCACTGGGGATTCCCAGGGGTCCACTAGGGAACGGGGAACATGGGAGAGACCATATACCGTGGATCTCTGAATGGGTGTTACTTGCTGTGTCACTTGCTGTAGGAATGGGTTTCATGTAATTAAGAGGTGAATCAGAGGACAATGAGGACCTGAGCTTGAGTCCTCAACACCCACCTAAAGGGTAGGGCAAGGTTATACTCAGGTGCCTGTGACCCCAGGGCTTGGGTGGGGACAGAGAGAGGATGATTCTGGGATTGCTGAGTGCCAACCTAGCTCCAGCCTCAGAGGACTGTGTCCCAGATAACATAGAAGGGAAGAACAGAACAGGACCTGTGATATTTTCCTGTGAGTACATGGGCAGGTGCACACACACTAAGAGAAATAGACAGACAGACAGACAGACAGATGGATGGACAGACAGACAGACTAGCCCCTGATGAAACAGGAGCTACAAATGACCAATAGTCTTCAATAAAAGCAAGGGAAACTTTTTTTTTGAAAATCTTTATTAAATCAAACAAAGCCGGGGTCCACGGCTGTGATTTATTGCACTGGGAACCTCTAGAACAACCAAACAGCACATTTTCTTTCACTCCTGGCAAGTAATTAGCCTCTGTACTGCTAAAGGGCCTGTCAGCAGCCCTGTCAAGAAAAAGAAAAGCCAGCTACTCAGAAGCACGGGCCCCTCAGCATCGCTCATCATCTCCCTGACGCTTGAAGGCATGGTCCTTTCCGTCTGCTCTACTGTTTCTTCTGAGGAAGGCAGAATCGAGGTGCAACAGTGGGGTCATCACCACAAGCAATCCTGGACTGATGTGCTAGGGGAAGAAAAGAAAGGGCAGCCCCCACCAAGGGCCAAGCACTGCAGAATAATCATGGTCAGATGTGCTGTCAATCACCCCCGTTGGCCCTGGCAGCCACACTGAAAGGTTAGCTCCGGTTTACAAGGGTAGAGATACATAAATTTATAGAGATTAAATAATTCACCCAAGCCAGGCAGGCCCTGGAACCAGGACTGAATCCAGCTCTGCTAGCTCCTGACAGTCCATTGAGTGTTATCACAGGTTTTTTTCAGGTGGGTAAGGGTACATGAGGATGGGATGGTGTGTGGCGCCATGCCAGGGTAGAGCAGATTATTATAAATGTAATTCTCTCCCATGCTTTCTCCAGTAACCACAGCAATTTTTTATTATCACATGGACACATGTTTAATGCAAGGTTTGTTGTATTAATGGAATATATGTTAAAAAAACAAAAAAAGACAAACCACTGGTAGTGTCCATGCCCAGAAAGCACCAGAGTTATAATTTTAGTCTATTTTCTTTAGGCAGGGATGCATTAGTTTTCCCATCAAAAACAAATAGGGAATGCTGGGGAGGAAGCAGGGAAAGGGGAACCTTTATACACTGATGGTGGGGGTGTAAATTAATTCACTCACTATGGAAATCAGTATACCAGTTCTTCAAATAAGTAACCCAGAGCTACCAAATGGTCATCTGTACCACACCTGAGCATATACCTTGTGATGGTTGGTGTTGACATGACACAATGTAGAATGACCTGGGAAGAGAGGCTCAAGGGAAAATTTTTAGATGAGGTTACCCCTGGAGTGTCTGGGGGATTATCCTAATTAAGGTAATTGAGGTAAGAAGATCCAGCCACTGTGTGTGGCGCATTCCCTAGACAGAGGATCCTAAACTCTAAGAATGGAAAAGGCAACTTGAGGCTGTAAGTACTCTATACATTGCTTTCAGCTCTTGGATGTGGATATGGTGTGACCAGTTGTTCCAAGTTCCTGCCTTGACTACCCTGCAGTGATGGCTGGTGACTGGAAACCATGGGCCAAATAAGCCCTTTCTCCCTTCAGTTGTTTTTGTCAGGTTATTTTATCAGAACAATGGGAACTGAAATGGAGAAGTATCTGAAAATCTCTAAGCCAACATACCACAGAGATGCCTGAACATCAATGTTTACTGCTAAACTATTGACAGTAGCTAAGTTATAGAACCACTGTAGGTGTCTATCATTTTTAATGTGTTATATGTATACAATAGGGTTTTATTCAGTTACAAAAAGAATGAAATGCTGTTGCCTGGAAAACGGATGAAACTGGAAATGGTCATACTAAGTGCAATAAGACAGACTCAGAAAGACAAATTCTGTATTCTTTAATTTCTCATTTATAAAATCTAGAATTTTATAGATACATTAAATAGGTACATATCTATCTATGTCATATATGTCATATGTATGATATATCTGTTAGTCATATATGATATATGACTAACAGGAGTAAGGTGGGAGAAAGGATACAAGAGAAATTATGGGGCTGAATATGATCAAAATGCATGATATAATCTAAAGAAATTGTCTTTATGAAACCCAACAATACGTACAATGAATTTATGACAATAAAACATGAAATTATTAATATTTGAGGAGATAGGTCTGCTGACTAGTATGATTTGATCATTCCATAACATATACCTGCATAAAAATATTACATTGTTCCTTAAAAAATGTATAGCAGTATTACCTGTTAATTATTTTTTAAAATAAATTGAGTAATTATTAAAAACTAGAATCAGACTGTAGAGTGTACCTTTTACAAGACTATTTACAATTACAATACTGTTTACTTAGTATTTAAAATACTAAGACTATTCTGATATGTGTGTACACATGCTCTGAAGAGATGATGTAACCTTGGCATTTTTATTCTTTAAAACCTATGATAAGGCTGAAGAGATGGCTCAAAGAGGAAAGTCCCTGCTACAAAGGCTTGAAGATCCACATTTGGAGCCACAGCACCCACATAAACAGTTGAGTGTAGTGACCTGTGCATTGTGAATTCGTGAAAACAAAGTACTAAAACAAGCTGCTACAAATTAATAAGGAAAAGATAAATAACCCAAGAGAAAAAACATAGACAAAAGCTATAAAAATGTATCACACAGAGGAGAGAACCCAGAGGGCCAATGAACATAAAAGACTGTCAACTTTATGAATAGTCAGGAAGCCACAGACAAACTGCCAGTGAAATGTGATTGCACATCCACCCAGCTGGCAATGAACCTGAAGACAGACAAGACTCAGGGCCACTGGGGATACAGTGATACGGAAGATGCCTTCTCTGCCAGTCTGCAGGGCACTCAGGCATCACCTCTTGGAGAAAAGTTTGACAGCAGTTGGTAGAAGAGAAATATCCACCTCCAGGTGTCTGTCCTACAATCCCTCACACAAGAACATGAGAGACCTCAATGAGATGATACGTGGTAGCACTGTCAGCAGTTATGAGAACTTTCTAACAGCTATCCTATGCAAGGCACCGACAGTCATAAACTGATGACATAGTCCTGCAATGGCAGACCCCAGAGCAGTTCAAATGACAGAAGAGACACGCCAGGCACCGGAATGCATACAAACGGAAACAAAAATGATATTATTGTAATGGTTAAAACTGACTGCCACATTGACAGGATCTAGGGTGACCAAGGGGAAAAGTCTTACTTTAACTGCCAACTTGACACAGATCAGAGTCACCTGAGAAAGGATTCTCAACTGAGGGATCACCCCAATCAGATTGGCTTGTGGGCGTGTCTGGGGGCTTGTCTAGGTGGGGCTCATTTGGATGGGAAGACCCACCTTAACTGTGGATGACTCCCTTCAGTGGGCTGGGGTCCTGAGCTGAACAAAAAGGGGAGAATGAGAGCTGAGCACCAGTGTTCATCTCTCTCTGCTTCCTGACTGTGGATGCCATGTGAGCAGCTGCCTCATGCTCCTGTTGCCATGCCTTCCACACCATCCTGGACTGCAGTCTCAAACTCTGAGCCAAAATAAAGTCTTCTTCCTTGAGTTTGTCCTTGTCAGGCATTTCATCACAGCAATGGAAAATCCTAATTTAATGAGATTGCAGAAAAAGAATGTTTTATTATAATATGAAGAGTAATTGATGCATAACATATTGCTATTATTGGTCTTTTATATAAATATATATAAAATATATATAATTTGAATTTTTGGAAACTTTAGCTGTGCTGTCAACTTTGGATAAAAGTATCCCAGTTTACCGTGTTGAGTTGACAAAGTATAGAAATTAACCGCCATATTGGTCTAGAAATGTTGAACTTAATTTTTTTCCATTTATACAGGGGTAACACACTGTATTAAATATGTAAAGTCTTATCTACATGGGTTTGATTACAAAAACTAATAAAGTATTCTCTAAATAAAAAATAATGTCAAGAGTATACATTATATATATGTATATATGTATGTATACATATAATATATGTGTACATCACATTTACAGGTAGCAAGTATATAAATGTGGGCTTTTATTTTTGTAAATGTTAATCATAACATCTAATTTTAAGCTTTATTCAATATAAGCAAAATTTTATATAATTATAAAATGCAAATATTATTATGCTAAATAAAAAGTTTAACTCAGGCATAATGAATTAACGTCTTTCAAGTTTGTATTTCACTTATATATTGATACTAATAAATGTGAAATACATACACAACAATAACAACATACCATAGGACTTGCCTCTAAGAGAAGGCTGGAGCTGGGAAGCATACAAAAAGAACTGTTTTATTTCTTTAAAAACATTTTTTGAGACAGCATCTCAGGTAACCCAGGATAGCTTTGAACTTCTGATCCTTCTGCCTCTACCTGTCTAAAGCTCATGTGTGTTTTTGAACAAGTGTGTTGGGGTGATGCACATATGTATTTGTGCAGGTGTGTTGGAGTGGTGGTATAAATGTGTATTTGTGTAAGTGTGTTGAGGCAGTGCACATGTGTGTTCATGAATATGAAGGCCAGTAGTCACCACTGGGTATCTTCCTCAGTCACACTCTCTAAACCTTACTTTCTGAGACAGAGGTCCTTTAAGCTCAAGAATTGAAAACTACCTTGGACAACACAGTGAGAGCATGTCTCAAAAAATAAAAATAAACACCATAATCATCACTATCTGTGTAGTAATTAAATAGGCATCATTTGTGATTTTTTATTTCTTAAATTTTTACAGAATAAAAAAATACATATTAATGCCTATAGTTTTCACCCTTTGAGAGAAGTGAGGGCTGGGTGACCTGTTTGCACCTTGGGGTCTAGTGGTGGGTCAGACAAAGAAAAACAGAAACCAGTGATTGTGGGGTGTGCTATGGCCAGGAGGGAAAGCTTTCAGAGCATCCTCAAACACAGAGGTGACTCTGGCACTTTCGGGAATGGGAAAGGTCAAAGCAAGTGATGAAGGGGGACCTTCCTAGACAATAAGAGATAATCCGAAATCTATTTCAATTTGGCTTAGGAAAAATGTATCTATTCCCCCACTTCAATGCAGAATGTTCTGGTATTCTCAGAAGTCACACTACTGTCAAAATCCCAAATTGAGAGCTGACTGAGGAAGAGGTATTGAAGTGCCCAGTGCTCTGCCCCCTCATTCAGGAGGCCTCAGGATGGGCCCCAGAGAGAAGTTATAACCCTCAGGCAGAAACAGACCGGGGTCCTTCAACACCTCATCCCAGGACCCTCAAGGAACTCACTTTCCTTTCTAAGCAGCTGTTTCCACAATTGTGAAGTCAAGATGATAGACAGAATACCAACAGGGGAAAACCTACACTTGGAATCAAGATTCACCTAGTTTGTGCACACACATGCACAAGGATTCCCTGCAGGCCATCTGCCTCCCTGTTCCAGAAAATCATGTTAGCAACTGTCCCTGTGGTTCTTTCCAATAATTTGAAGTTAATGAATTAAAAGGGACTCAGGGGGTGACTCAGTCAATATAGCATTTGCTGTAAAAGCATGTAGGCACAAGTTTCTCTCCCCAGCATCCATGTTATAAAAAAAAAAGTCAAGCACTGTAGACCTTGGCACTAAAGAGGGTAGAGACAAGAGGAATCCTGGAACTTGCTGGCCAGCTAGTGTAACTGAATGGGTAATCTCCAGGTTCAGTGGCAGAACCCCTGTCACTAAAACATAAGATGGAGAAATAAGTGAAGAAGATACTCAACACTGACCTCTTGCCTCTGGAAACACACACACACACACACACACACACACACACACTGCTGAGCAATAAGTGCTAGTGGTAAAACGAATTTGAATAAATTCACCGACCATAACTGTCTATAGAGGGAAGGGCAGGCTTCATTAAGCACAACTATATAGAAAATTACTCCTTTCTAGACATCATCCTCAAGTTTTTAAACTACCCCCCCCC